TTTTTTAAGTACCTACCAACTGTCAGTCACCCTCCAGTTGCTTTCAAATATCAATTTCATCTCCAGAACATTCCAGTGGTTGAGTCAGCAAGCACTCCTAATCACTGGCACTTTAGTTTGAAATACCATCATGAGCCACTCCAGTTTCTCAGGGAGATTGTTCTGGAGTACAGGGGATTTGGCCTAAAGGAGATGTTTTATTTGGGATTGTTTTGGCAGCAGGTGTCAACATCTAATTTAATCTGATTTTAGGAAAAAAAAGGGCCTTTATTGTCTTACTTATCGTGGAATTTTTTGCAATAAGCCTACCTCCCAGGGCCAGATCTGGCCATTCCAAGATTTCATCAGGATTCTTTCTCTAATTTTCATCTCCGCTTACCTCAATGAGGGCTTTATTATCTGGGTGACTCTCCCTTCACAGTAACAGCATCCAATATGCATTCTATGCACTTTGTAGCCCTAGTGAAAAGATGTCTTCCAGTTCCCCATAAAGTCCATTTAATTACCTTGTCACATCTGGAACCAAGGGGGAGGAGTCAAATCTATTCAAACTCTTTGGATTGGGATGAGGGAGGCATGGTTCCTCAAAAGGAAATTTGAGATGTTACTACTAGAAGAAGGTCTGGACTTGGGGTAAGCAAAGCAACATATGTCCGTCTCAGGGAATAACAAGAAGTGATTTGGGTCATGGTGTCCTGCAGACTCCCAGGAACCCTTCTGTAGCACAAAGCCTGCCATGTGATGAATATGGCTATGAGTGAGAAATCAGGGAGGCCCAGAAGGTCACACGAGGATAATGGAAAGAGCTGGCCTGCTGATTCGAAGTCTGTGTTTGGAATCCCCTGATGAATCCTACACTCTTTAGAGTTTGAGAACCTTGGGATCTGAGCTCTGTCAAAAAAAAAAAAAAAAAGGATAGCCCTGCTATACCTGCCCACAAACCTATAGACTTGAGAAGGACATAAAGGTGGGGCTTATGAACATGGGCTCTGACAACAAACCAGGGCCATTTCCCTCCTTCCCTACCTGCCACCCATTAGCTTGTGATGTGTGGAAGTGATTTAACTTTCCTGCGTTTCATTTTCTCATCAGGAAAATGCAGCTTATTGCCAACTACATGGACTTCTGGCCAGCATTAGTGTTTTCTTCAAGAGTTCCATAAAGCAGCAGCCAAGAGGGTGGGGAAGGGAACCCCACGTTTAGGAGGAGTTTGCTCTCCTGCTTACCAGTGAGGTGAACTTGCTCTGAAATTGTTTCCTCGCCTGGGAAGAAGTAAAGTTAATAATAGCACCTGCCTTCTACAATTTTCTGTAGGATTAACATCACAGGTGTTCTGCACTGTGCCGGCAGATAGCAAGCACTCAACATATGGCAGGTGCTGGGGCTCTCACTCGGATACAAGTCTCGTGAGCTCAAGGCTTTGTGTCTGTCTTAGCTGAGCTGTAACTTAGAACAGTGCCTGGCATATAATGGATGTCCAACAGATATCTGTCAGAGAAACTGTTGAATGCTTGTCATCAGTTCAGTATCACCTCAACTCAGCCTTCTCTTCTACAACTTCTCCTACTTCCCAAATTTTCTGATTCAGATATTATATTCAGTGCATAGTTATCAAGCACCTATTTTGTTGCAGGCACTCATCTATGCTCTGGGAACGAAGCTGTGAATAAGACATGCAAAGCAGTTACTCTTGGGAGTTCATATTCTTCTAGAGAGAGGGAGGGGGGTTGTATATTTGGTGGGAATAAGGTCTAAGAAAGAAATAAAGTGCAGTGATGACAAGGAGTTGAGGGGTGGGAAGTCAAAAATACGTGATCTGGGAAGCTTCGGACAAGATGGCTTTTGAGCTCGTTCCCAAAAGATGCAAGGAGCCAGCCATGAAAAGGGCTAGTAGGAGGGAATTCGAGGTGGAAGTCCTGAGGTGGCATTATGGATTGAATTGTGTCCCCAAAGAGATATGCTGAAGTGATAACTAGTACCTGTAAATACGGCCTTATTTGGAAAGAGAGCCTTAGCAAATATAGTGAAGTTGAGTTCTACTCAATTCAGGTGGGCCCTAATCCAATGACCAATGTTTTCATAAGAAGAGGAGAAGAGATGTAGAAACACACAGGGAGGCAGAGATGGGGACAAAGCACCCACACGCCAAGGAATTGCCAACAACGTCAGGAACTCAGAGAAGGAAATGGAATACTCCCCTGGAGCCTTCAGAGGGGATATGTCCATGCAGACACCTTGATTCAGACTCCAAGCCTCCAGAACTATGGGAGAATAGATTCCTGTTGTTTTTCACCACCTGGTTTGTGGGGCTTTGTTAAGGCAACTCCCAGAAACTAATGCAAGTGGAAATAAGCTTGACATGTTCAAGGGACAGAAAGGAAGATTGTTGACAATGGACTGCAGGGGAGAGAGTCAAGAAATAAGGGCAGAGAGTTAGGAAGAGGCGAACTCAGCAGGACCTGGTGGGCCATGGTGTAAACCACCTGCTGCTCAGTCTGCAAGGGAAGCCAGGGGAGGAGCTCACTGGTGGAAGGACATGATTTACGTTTTTCAGAATCACCTGGGCACCTATACTATGGGGGCACATAGCAAAACAGAAGGACCGGTTAGCCTGGAGACAGTCATTGCTAAGGGCAGGGGGTGGCTTTTACTACCCTGGGAGTAGCATCCTTTAGATACTGAAAGGAAGGACCATCGACTGAGTTAGGTGAGTCTGGAAGCACCTTTCAACCCAGGAGTTGCTCAAGGAAGAAGGGTGGATGCTCATTTTGTGTGTGTGCCTCCAGATCTTTCACCTCAAACCACAATCTACCATCTTTCTCCCATTCTAAATTCACTAATGTTCCAGAAGTGAAGCACATATTTTCTGCAAAAGTGGATAGGTGCATACATCTGCACATAGGCATTTGCACATGGCTATAAATTAATGGCTCATACTTAAGGAAGAAGGAAGTACCAATCCCTGCTGTGTATGGTCAGCCTGTGTTTTCTCTTTCTTTTTCTAAGCATGAAAATGCTGCATTTTGTATTTTTCCCTCACTGTGATCATTCTGTTTTTGTGACTGTGTATTAGTTACCCTGGCAACGTGGTAGACTTGAATTTGATTGGCCAGGTTGTCAGGTTCATTGTGAGAGCCAGGGGCCCATTTTTGAGCACTAGACCTGTGCATGTTTACCGCAGCTACAGAGACAGGCTTGGTCAGGAAAACCTGATTGAGCAGAACTTCCGCATCCCCTCTGTCTGCCAGAGGGACCCTTCCAGCACCTGCTGTGTGAATGTCCCTTGCATTGCTTTTGAAAAGATGCAAGAGCTCATCTCTGTCTTTGAAATGTCTGTCAGAAAATGTGCTTAGCATTGGTATGTTCAGACCATGGTGCAGAATATATTTATTTATAATGAGAAATTAATTCTCAAAGAAGCTTAGGGAGAATGGTCTAATTGCTGGACCATGGGATTAGAACCTGTTACACAGATTTAATTCAGACTTGCTGTGCATTATTGAGTAAGTCACAAACTCAGCCAAATGCTTCGTTTTCTGTAAATAAATTCCATTCATACCGAAAGAGCCTCATCTTAAGAATGAAGTTCTAAGAGCACTGAAGATTTAAACTGGGATAAAGTTGTAGTCTTGTTCTTCCAACAATATTGAATCATTTATTTAATCAATGTATCAGATACCTGGTTTACTGATTAAAGTCGGCTTCTATTCATTTACCAATTACCTAGGAAAAAAACAAACTCCCATCTATGGCTGAAAATCTTTATTAGCCAATGAATAAATAACTCCAAAAAAAAAAAAAAAAAACTAAAGTTAGATACAGACCAATGCCTTAAAAAGTAATAACTGTGTCTTTCTTATTTGCTCAAATTCCTAAGTAGCCACACCTGGCTCACTTCTTGCAATCCTTTTGTTTTCAAAGAAAGCATATCATCGATGCCTGGATCTATCACACTCTCTGTATTTGAACGTATTATATCTAACTGTGCTATATAACCAGAATAGTCTTAATATAGATGTAAAAGTCATTGGCAAGCAGTCATTTTTCACCTGGGTTAAGTGTTACAGTATGTTCAGCTCCAGTAAAGCTAACATTTAGGATGTCCAATTCAAAGAAGAAGAAGAAAAAAAGTCTGAAGGGAAAAGAGACAAGAAGCACATTCCAAATATCCTTCCAAAAAAGATGATTGCACAGTAATAATTAATTCCTCTGCTAAAGTTACTAGGGAAAAACGTGAACCATCTAAAACTCAGACCTCCCCCAACCCCCCCATTCAGGAAAAAAAAAAATGCCTTGTTAATTGTGCACAGGGAGACAAGAGAATCAGAGAATAATAGGAAACTAACTCCTTCAGGGTTGAGCCGATAAACCAAATTAATATTAGCTTTTGAACATCACATGCTTTCTGAAAGACCTGGCGTGGTTGGATTTTGTTAGTGAAACTTGTTTGCAAGACTATCAGTAGTGCATTCAGATTAAGCGTTGTTTCTAAATCTGCTAATTTGCTTGCACATGGCACAATGACACAGCCTTAGATTTGTGTAAGGAGTGTTAATTTGTTAAGCATAAATATTTTAAATATATCCAATTTTTATAACTTTTTTTTTTAGTCCGCCTTTATTGTCTAACACTTTGGGAATTCCCCAAAATGGAAGTGGCAGGACTCTTGACCCTTGAGAGGCCTGCTTGCTCTCAGATTTGTGTGCAAGGAAGATTCTTCTGGAAATAACCCTCTTTTTTTTTTTTTTTTTTTTTTTTTTTTTTTTTTTGAGATGGAGTCTTGCTCTGTCACCCAGGCTGGAGTGCAGTGGCGCAATCTCGGCTCACTGTAAGCTCCGCCTCCTGAGTTCACGCCATTCTCCTGCTTCAGCCTCCCAAGTAGCTGGGACTACAGGTGCCCGCCACCACCCCGGGTTAATTTTTTGTATTTTCAGTTTCACCGTGTTAGCCAGGATGGTCTCGATCTCCTGACCTCATGATCCGCCCGCCTCGGCCTCCCAAAGTGCGGGGATTACAGGCATGAGCCCCTGCACCCGGCCCTGGAAATAACCCTCTCTTGACCAGGAGGCACTTGGTCAGAGGCTTCCGCGGTGAGCCCTGGCTTGAGGCTGCTCGTTCCTGCTGGTCTTGTGCCCTACCTGCTTGGAAGCCACCCTCCCCAGCCTCTCCCTTCCTAGAACTCCGAGCCACAGACAAGTGCCCAGAACATTACCCTCAGATTTTCAAAGAAGACAGAGAAGAATAAGAAAATGAAAAAACGCAAATAAAAGTCTGTGGAGATGGAATTAATTAACAGGAAAAAATAATACGAAGGCCAAGGAGGGGAGAGAGGGTGAGAAACAACAAAAACTCATTTAGAGCCAACAGAGATCATCTGAGGGAACGCAAAGAATGGAACCCAAATGAAAGATTCTGTGAAGTCTAGGGAGAAGACTTGGGGATGTGCACGGAGATAAAAGGACGCAGTGATTAATAAAACAGAGGGGAAAATGAAAATGCAACACAAAGCCCTCCGGTTCTACATACAAGCCAAGGTACATATGCCAGTAAAAGCAGGGAAATGGGGAACAAAGGATGTCATAGCAACCTCAACGAGCCCTGTTGTGCTAGCGATTGCAGCACTCATGGACATCCATCAGGAAGCCTCCAATACCCAAACTAGGTACTCACGAGGGGAGGGCTGTGGCCCCCAGCCAGGGGGATCTGAGCCCCTGCAAAGCACTCTTGTCTCACTTTCTTCCTTCCTCCCTCCCAAAAATCCAAACCAGTTCTGCACCAAGCCTCTCCCTTCTTTTCCCACAGCTGTTTTCCTGAAATGCAGGAAAACAAACCTGGACCAAGCATCCTGATGCTTTCACACCCCCCAAATTACGCTTCCCAAGTTGTTTCAACCCTGAGTAATGTCGTAGCATTCCCTTGTGCTCTCGAAAAACTCCCTGCTCCTTTAAAACAAAGACAATGATAATAACAAAAGAAAAACGCATAAATGTGTTTTGCTTGCTGTTGCAAAATCAGGCATCCCACCGTTCGAATTCATTTGGGGATGTGGACATCCAATGGGATATATAGCTCATTTACCTGTGCCTAATTCAACGAGAAATGCTCATTTCCTTCCACCTCTATCTTCTACTTAAATTATAGGTCTCTTCTTTACTAATAGACCATCACTTCTTTCTACTTTCTTGTGGTTTGAGTGGGGGAAATACTGGGACATTTGGAATGAAACAGGAAAGATGAATGTTTCACCATCAAGACTTGGAACGCAGTGAAAAATAAAAGAACTTTTACAGGAACCTAATGGAGATATTGACATGTGTGTCTGGAAATCTAAACTTAGTAAAGTGTAAGGCAAGAACAGGCTTTCTCACTTTATTTCTGTATCTGGAAAGTTTCAGCGGCTGGTACCATATGAATATTTATTAATGCATTGTGAATCAGAACCTGTGATTATTACTCAAACTATCTTTTTACCTTGCAAGCTTCAACTCAGAAGAATAAAAACACATCTGCTTTTGCTCTTCCCATATTTTATTCAATGTTTTAACAGCTTTGCTGTAAATATCTCATCCATTACGATTTAGTTGTGACTATATCGGCTTCACGTCTCCTGTTTTATTACTGTCATCACAGTGCAACAACACACTGTTAATTCTGTTAACTAACAAGTTCATTGTTCGAGCTAGTCAGCCATCTCCCGTTTGTTGGGTCCACATGTTAAAAGAGAATTGGTTATAAATCAAAGAAGGGCCTGAGTGGGGCGTGTTCCCTTTGTTCAGATGAGCGGGTCTTTATTTGAGATTGTCATTTAATACGCCGTCATGGAAGAAATGACTAAATCTGAAGATAGGGCCAAATTCAATCGTATTAGATGAAGAGGCTGCACAACCCTCCAGGAATTCAGCTCTAAAATATGCAAGCGTACATAGAGCTTCAGATTCTCTGCATGAAACCTGTACTTCTTTTATAGCTCCCATTCAATTCAGACCTCGTAAACCTACCTTCTTCCAGATCTTTCCAGAGGAAACTTGGTAATATTTTTCCCTCTCAATGTGAAAACTGAGTCAGTCAGTGTGATCTGATGGTTAAGAACGTGGACTTTCAAATTCAGCATCCTGGTTTGCTTTCCACTCTGCCATTTCGGAGTTGTATGGACTTGAATGATTTAGTTAGCATCCTGATCTGTAAAATGGGAGAGCAACAACACCTACCATGTTAGGTAGTTGCAACAATTAAATGAGAAAATGTCTATAAACTTCTGTATCAGTCAGGACTCAGTATAGGAAATCAGAATCATTCCAGATATTTCAACCATATAATGAGTTACTCAGCTATTAGGCGTGTACCAGTTACCTATTACCATGATAGCGTTGGGAAACACATGCCTGAACACATGCACACACATACAGTGGCTGACAACAACGAGCATGTATTTAAATCACAGATGTGCAGGTCAGAGATTTGGGCTGGGCTGGGCTGGGCAGTTCTTCTGGCGATGCTAGGTTCACTCTATGCCTCACTGGCTGTTGGCTGGTACACGGAGCAAATGTCTAATTCTCCATCAGGATAGCTTGGGTTTTTTTTTTTTTTTGGCAAAGACAGAGGAGCAAAAGGACCTCTCCTTGTGTGATGTTGGCTAACATCCCACCGGCCAAAACAGGTTATATGTCAGGTCCATAGGCAAAGGTTGGTACAGACAGAATGCCCACTCTTATGAAATAAACAAACAAAAAATGAGTTCTGAGGGCATTTTAAATGGGTACCATAGATCTTGGTCTATATCGAAGGGAAGGGAAGGGAAGGGAGGGGAGGGGAGGGGAAGGGAGGGGAAGGGAAGGGAGGGGAGGGGACGGGAGGGGACGGGAGGGGAGGGGAGGGAAGGGAAGGGAAGGGAAGGGAAGGGAAGGGAAGGGAAGGGAAGGGAAGGGAAGAAAGGAGGAAACCTCATTTTAAGAAGATCATTTGAGTCTACTAATTTCAAAACACAAATGAGCTGAATTTATTAGGAACAAATTCTGGTTCATTAGAACTAATTTTTCTAAGACACATTCCTTAAGGAAAACGTACCTTAGTTGTGATTCTAAATCTGTCTCCTGAGAAATCTTGGATGCCTGCTGATCATTTTGAATTCCTTGCTACCCTCAACTTTCTGGCTGCATGTAAGAAATCATTTTAAATGAATTGAATAAAATTCACAAGTGTTATATGCCAGCAAATGATGAACTCACAGGAAATATGACTCAAATCCACTTTTTTCATTTTGTTTTTTTCTCATAATAAATAGAAATGAACAAATGTGGCTTTAATGACATCTTGGAGTGAGAGCTTTTATTGATATATTATCAGTTGGAAGTGTGTAACACTTTGGTAAATAAACTCCATTCTGCATATTTATAACCAGATTGAAAAAGGTGTATTTGTTATTTCCTGTGACATTTTCTAACGATAGTGAAGTTTTATATATGAAGATATACACGTACCATCATAAAAATGAACAATATTTCAGCTTACAAAATGTTTCTTTGATTGAAGATGTTTTTGTACTTACTTAGTTTCCAATTACTTTTTTAACCTGTGCTCACACACTTAAAAATACCTTCTCCTCCTTCCTGCAAAGCTGTAAACAGATGCTCCAAATTGTGTCAGTTGAAACAAAATTTGGAGCATCTGTTTTAGGGCGACAAGTCCTTCTTTGGGCAGCTGAAGTTTTGATCATTAGCTAATTACAGTTTGTATCGGGTCAAAGTCTGGGTTACAAAAAAGAGGAAACTGGCTTAAGAAAAAAAGGGAATCCAGTGACTCACATCCACTGGCTTCAGACACAGTGTGATGAAGGTATTTAAATGATGCTCTAGAACCTGGTATCTCCCTGCCTCTCAGCTATGCTTTCCGATTTGTATTAGCTTTCTTTTAAGACAGGTTACCTCCACAAAGTCGCAAGATGACAACAGCTATAGAACAGCTTCTTTGTTTCATAGATGGAAGAAAATAGTCTCTCTCTCTCTCTCTCTCTCTCTCTCCCCCCTCCCTCTCTCTCTCTCTCTCTCCCCCCCACCCACCAGCCCTCCACCTCCTCTCTTGCTTTCTTTTTTTCCTTCCCAACCCTCTCCCCCTACCAGTTGAAAAGTCAAGGATATCAGCCTACCTACCATTGGCTCAATTGCTCACATGCACATACCTGGACAAACTTTTGTAACCAGGGGTGTATCAGTTATCTATTGCTATATAACCAATTACACCCCCCTCCTTCCTCTGCCAAACTTAGCAGCTTAAAATAACATGCACTTATTACCTCACAGTTTCTATGGGCCAGAGATCCAAATATGGCTTCATTAGGTCCTCCAGCTCAGAGTCTTTTGTAAGTTCCAATTGTGGTGTCAACCAGCACTCCAGTCATTTCAAGGTTCAACAGGATTCTCTCCCAAACCCACTCAGTGGTTACTGGCAGGATTCAATTCATTGTGGACTGTTGGACTGAGAGCCTCAGGTCCTCACTGGCTGTTCGGCAGAGACCATGCTCAGCTTTTTGCCATGTGGCCTCTCTGTAGGGAAGTTCACAACAAGGCAGCTGGCTTCATCACAGCAAGCAAACGAGAGAGATGGACGTCACAGTCTCTGATAACCTAATCCTGGAAGGGATATCCCATCATTTCTGTCATATTTTAGTCATTATTAGTGTATTAGTCCATTTTCATGCTGCTGATAAAGACATACCTGAGACTGAGCAATTTACAAAGAAAGAGGTTTAATTGGACTTACAGTTCCATGTGGCTGGGGAAGCCTCATGATCAAGGCAGAAGGCAAGGAAAAGCAAGCCACGTCTTCCATGGATGGCAGTAGGCAAAGAGAGAGAGCTTGGGCAGGGGAATTTCTCTTTTTAAAATCATCAGATCTCAGGAGACTTATTCACTATCATGAGAATACCACGGGAAAGACTTGCCCCATGATTCAGTTACCTCCCACTGGGTCCCTCCCACAACATGTGGGAATTCAAGATGAGAATTGGGTGGGGACACAGCCAAACCATATCAATTAGCAAGTCCATCCACACTCAAAAAGTAGGGATTACACAACAGCGTGAATACCAGGAGGTGGGGACCCCATGGGAGCCATTTCCAAAGCTGCTTACTACCATGGATAGTGATATACGCTGGCTGGTTTAACTGAATCTCAGCCCGCCAATAGAGCTGGAGGAGAATCAACCACAACATTTTCTAAACTATGAGTGAAGGTGACGGTCACAAATGGGAATCTGCATATGGTTAGAAAGTTTGCATGTGGTTTGAACATGGTTGAGTGGACAACATTTATGATCATTACTCACAACAGTCCGATGATATGGTATCATCGTAAGTGTTGAGAATAATACATTAAGTCACGTTCCTGATTTTGACACTGTTTCATGAGTCACCAAGACAACATATTCAGAGGCAGTAAGTTAAAACTACAGAAACGATGGTCGCATGATAAAACTGACCTTAACATACTTGAATGTACATTTAAACAGCACAGACTCGTGTCCCACTGACTCTATATTTTCTGCATAGAGTGTCCGATGTCGAGATTTCTCAACATTTGAGACCGAAAACATGTGTAGTACTTTTCAGAACTTGAAAATAATAAGTGTTTATTATCATTTGTGGTGAGGAGAAAGGAAAAAGAGCATTTTAACCAACAGACTGCAGTCATTTTTCTATTCTAGGGATAATTGACTAATCCATATCCATGTTGATAGCTCTTTGCTTAGGAAACCTTGATGGCTTATTTGGATGAGAAAGGTGAGTTCAGAGACTGATGTTGCAAAGATAGTTGAATGGGTCTGTATAAGAAAGAAGGAACTGGGGACCATGGCTCGTTTCTGTAATCTCAGCATTTTGGGAGGCTGAGACAGGAGGATTGCTTGAGCCCAGGAATTCAAGAGCAGCCTGGGCAACATAGGGAGACCCCCATCTCTATAAAAATAAATTAGCCAGGTGTAGTGTTGTGCACCTGTAGTCCCAGCTACCAAGGAAGCTGAGTCAGGAGGAGCCCTTGAGCCTGGGAGGTTGAGGCTGCAATGAGCAGTGATCCCACCACTGCACTGCAGTCTGGGAGACAGAGTGAGACACTGTCTCAAAAAAGAAAGAAAAGAAAAGAGAAGAGAAGCAAAGAAAAAAAGAGGGAAAGAAAAAGAAGAGAGAAAGAAGGAAAGAGAGAGAGAAGGGAAGAGAAATAGAGGAATAAAGGGAGGGAGGGAAGGAGGAAAGGAGGGAGGGAGGTAAGAAGGAAGGAAGGAAGGAAGAAAGAAAGGAAAAGGAAGGAGGAGGAAGAAAGGGAGGAAGGAAGGAAGGAAGGAGAGGAAGGAAGGATGGAAGGAAGAAAGATGAAGGAAGGAAGGAAGAAAGATGAAGGAAGGAAGGAAGGCAGGGAGGGAGGGAGGGGAGGGGAGGGGAGAGGAGAGGAGAGGAAGGAAGGAAAGGAAGGGAGAGGAAGGAAGGATGGAAGGAATAAAGATGGAAGGAAGGAAGGAAAGAAGAAAGGAAGGAAGGAAGACAAGGGAGGAAGGAAGGAAGGAAGGAGAGGAAGGAAGGAGAGGAAGGAAGGAAAGAGAGGAAGGAAGGAAAGAGAGGAAGGATGGATGGAAGGAAGAAAGATGGAAGGAAGGAAAGACGGAAAGAGGGAAGGAAAAGAAGGAAGTTTTCAGATGCTCAACATGGAGGGAGAAAAAGAACCCTTAGCTTGAATGAGGGCCCAGAGAATATTTTTGAGCTTTAAAAGAAAAGATAATCCCAGAATACTGAAGTTAGGGACCCCTGACATTGGAGTTAAATGGCAGTGACCGATTCTGTCTGTTACCTGTTTAATAACCATTCTCTTTTATCTCATATATAATAAACAATGACTTTATTTTCAGAGTATAAAAACATTCCGTGAAATATTCCCTTTCAAAGGTTCCCTTTTGGCGATACGTAACCATGTGAGACAACACGGCCATGAAACGAACTGATTCTGCCAGTGGCTCCTAGGAACATATTTGCTTTCCTGATAAAAGAGCATAGATGCAGTTGCAGAAGTACCTGTGCCTTTTTTTTTTTTTCTTTTTTTAATTTCTTAAATGCAGGTGTAAGAACTGGTACTGAAGCAGTCATCTTGTGACCATAAGGAAAAAGCCAAGAGTATCAGAACCAGTGGCCTAGCCATTGCACAGTCATCTAAACACACCTCTAGACTTGTTATTATATTAAAAAAAAAAAAAACCTGATCTTGTTATTTGCAATTCAACATAATCCTAACTTATGTAATATTGATCAAATTAATACAAATAAGAAATAAATTACTTGGGAATAAAACTTCCAGTAGTTTGTCAAGCTTCTCCAATCTTCTGATTTCTTTATGTACTTTATTTTCCCATTGCATTTTCCCCCAATAAATATTCATCTTCAGTACTCAAGAGTCTTTGTTATGTAAGAGGGAAGTTTCTCTGAAGCTAAAATCACAATAGAAAAATATATCCAGAGGTACAGCCCTTATCCCCCAGCAGTTTCTCTCCTCGGTTATGCCATCTATTGTCAGGACATATCAACAAAACACAACAAATGGTCGGATGTGGCTGTCCTTGGTCATGATCTCTTTCATTCTTGAATACCTACTCATCACTTACAGTTCTGCCTTAGTTTACTGTGCAGAAGCCACTTGTCATGTAACATCCAAATCTGGTCATTTAGAACTTAATTTCCCTCCATCTCTTCACACTGAGATGCAGCAATGGGAGATTTCCATTTCTTCTCTGAAATGTTGTTTATACACACATTTCAGGCATAAACTTTGTGGGAAACAAAAATGAATGAGGAATCAAATTGCTCTCAACAGCATCTTGTAGACATAAACTTTCAAGAAAAAAAAAAAGAAAATCTCAAAGGTCTTGTAGAAGAGATAAGTCATCCACCCAACCACCTAAAATATAAAGTGAAAAAGTAGCAACCGCCATACCAGAGGCAGAAATTAAGGCAATGGGCATTCACAAGGAGAAAAGTCGTATTTCTGCAGTATGAGAGAGAAGATCACATTTTAAATGGACCTTTAGAGAGGGAAACAATTACATGGGTGAAGTCAGGGTGGGAGGAGCTAATGAATGGCTAATGAATGGAGAGAGCATTGCAGTGGCTGCAGGGAGCCATTGAAGGTGGTGGAGCAGAGCAATGGTCATCTGCATGTAAGCTTCCAGAGTAATTTTAGGAAGTAAACTTTTTTTTTTTTTTTAGACGAAGTCTTGCTCTGTCACCCAGGCTGGAGTGCAGTGGCCGGATCTCAGCTCACTGCAAGCTCCGCCTCCCAGGTTTAGGCCATTTTCCTGCCTCAGCCTCCTGAGTAGCTGGGACTACAGGCACCCACCACCACGCCCAGCTAGTTTTTTGTATTTTTTAGTAGAGATGGGGTTTCACCGTGTTAGTCAGGATGATCTCGACCTCCTGACCTCGTGCTCCGCCCGTCTCGGCCTCCCAAAGTGCTAGGATTACAGGCTTGAGCCACCGCGCCCGGCCCAGAAAGTAAACTTTTTAAAATTTATACTTGCTACTCTCCAGTGTGAAGATCAAACAAGATGCAAAACGACGAAACACCATACCTTTTGTAGATACTAAACTTCTCACTACATAATGGTTCAGGGAAGAACCCACCTTTTGAAAAGGTGGAATAGAATAGCTCAAACCAAAGCACTTTTTAATGCTCCACAAACTCAGGGTGGTTCATTATTATAGAAGCATTTCCCACACATCCATATGCCAGTTTGTTGAGACATCTTAAATTCCTTTGAAATATATGTGGACTATAAATCAAAATATAACACAGCAAATAAACTATGGTTCTTTTGGCTTTAAAAACCATTTGCTAATCACATTTAGTGAAAATAAAACTCTACTGCTCACGGAGGATGTGACTGCTTTCTCTCTGAAGGGTAGTAGCTACACAGGTCCGGCTTCTTGCTGACATGTGGAAACACCTGGAGTCAACAGATCTCCTGATTTTTTTTTCAAGGAAATAGGAAATTCAGATTTGTATGTAAACTGTGCTAACTACTGGCTCCATTTATATATGTGTATATGTGTGTGTGTGTATACACACACACACACACACACAAATATGCCGGCCAGGCCAAATTTGCCTGCAGGCTAGATTTATTTGATCCATTGGCTGAGACTTTGGACCTAATGGCTATACTTCTGAAGTCGACCCTATGAAAAGAAAGCAAAATACCAAAGGAAAAACCGTAAAAAAGTGAAAACCTGTAACGACTCAGTTTAATTCACTTAAAAAGTTAAGTTATTATGTATCCACTCAATGGATTATTATGCAGATTAATAAAACCTATATATTAACATCAAAAAATATATATAAAAGAAAACAGCAAAACTATGAAGATAGTAAAAAGATCAGTGGTTACCAGGAGTTGGGGTGAGAGACATATTAATAAATTCAAAGAGCACAGAGGCTTATTAGGGCAGTATGATTCTATGTGACAGGATAATGGTGGATACATGTTATGATACATTTGTTAGAAACCCATAGAATATACATCACTAAAAGTAAACCCTAATGTAAACTATGGACTTTGGGTGATGATGTGTCAATGTAGATTCATTGACTGTAACAAAGGTACCACTCTGGTGCATGATGTTGCTGGTAGGGGAGTCTGTGCTTATGTGGGGATATGAGGTATAATAGGAGCTCTCTGTACTTACCACTCCATTTTGCTGTGAAGTTAAAACTCCTCTAAAAAGTAAAGTCTATTTTTAAAAAGGAAATAAAATTCTTTAAGCAGCCTGATCACA